TGGTGGAAAAAAGGAGAGCAAGGAGAAACCGGTTCCTTACAAAGCGTAGAATATGTAATTTTCCTATTTTATCGATTTTTAAATATTCGTTTGATATCGATCAGAGTTCGGATTAATATTTCAACGATCAATTTATTCTTCTTCGCTTCGTTCGATTGTTTTGCCTTCGAGAGATACTTTATAAAATTCTAATTGAAAAGTGTATCAATATGATGTACAGTTTCCTCGCGCAGAAATTTACTGGCGTTAAAACGATTCCGAGATAGCTTCCAGGTTGCACCGAGTAATTGCGTTAGAGCAGACTGTAATTACTCGGTGCGCAAGTAAGACAAATGAATAATTAGTATCAGCACGACTCGCTCGTTCGAGACGTGCCCTAAGGGCGTCGTAACATTAAGCGTCTCTAATTAGGGATAACGAATGACGTAATGGACGTGATATTAACTATACAGGACAAACGTTATCAACTTTTCACGCTGTTATAATCGCGTGCGCTCCGATTTAATAATTTTCCAACGGGCTACTTACTGATATACCTTAGTCGTCGAAAACCATCGAGTTCCACTCATCTTGGTTATTTTATTCATGCAAATAATAGCAAACGACTGAGAAGAAATTCATTAAAATAAAATATTTTTACAATTTTACAGGTGTATTTTTTGTACAAATAATAGCAAACGACTGAGAAAAGATCAATTCTGTACACAAAAATTAATAAAAAATGTAGAATAAAATTTTTGTTGCAAATTATCCTCGAATGATTTCTTATGGAGCTGGATCTATATCACAAACGAAACAAGCACTTAGCCTGCCAGAGGAGACCACAAATTAAACACACCCCAGTCGAGTATTAAAATCAAATCGCCTAGTCCATCCATCATCGTGGCCGATCAGGATCCATAGATCGGTCAAATTGAAACACGGCTCGCGGCGATGGCTCGTCCGATCGAGAAAAACAGTCCTACAGTCTGATAAGAATTTGGACGCGATAAATCAGAAAAGAATATTTAAAAATCTAATAGGTTTTGTTTAATAATGGGTCCAATCTCTTCCTGAAGGAAACTACGAGTGTTTAAACTAATACAATATCCCCATTAGGTATCAAATCTTATCTCTTATCGAGCAAACTGTAAATAATCGACAAACCTGGTTATCGTCGCGTAGCTCGTTCGGGGGTGGTTCGTGGAGCAAATGTGGAAACCCAGAGGATCGGGGGAGACCAGGAACGGGGAAGAAACCGCAGAACGACGAGGATGGAAGACGCAGGGGGTACGGGGAAGGCCTGGATTTCTGAGAAGCATGAAATTGCGACGATTACGCGTCGCGTCCCCGGGGCAGAAGAGTTATTTGCATTGGAATGCATCGCGCGGGCTCGGTGGCCGAAACTCACCACGTGGGACGATCTACAAGGTGTCCTGATGAACGTGAGAAGCTGCCAGGACGGCGGCCGCGTGCCGTGCGAAAACGAGCCGAGTGAAATCGCCCGGAGGGTCCGTCCCTCTCGTATAAACGAGGAAGACGTTGACGCGATGGGCGGCAATGAACGAGGGGAACCGTTTCGTGATTTTCGTTCCGCGAACGGGAAGACATAATCGCGCGTCCAGGTGAAGACGTCCCGGCGTCGTGCGTTTCCGCAAACGCGTCTCGACGTCGTGCACCGTTCGACTCGCGCTCTTTCATTAAGTCTCCGCGACGTTGCAACGGTTAATAATGCCGCTCCTTCCGAACAGAAACGCCAATAAGCGTGCATCGCGTGAGAATAAATTGAAAAAATTAACCCGACGTCGAGGGGAACCGGGGATGGTGAATGTTCTGGGAAGTTTGAGACTGTTCGAGTGGATTCGAAGGTTGGCGAAAGGAGGGGGACGGGGCTATTGATGAATAAAATTTGCTCGACTTAACACTAAAACTACCAAAGCAGCCAAAATGATGAATTTTATAATTCGATTATAATTGTCGCTAGTTCTAGTGTTAATCACGAAAGTCTCATAGTAAAGAAATATCATATGATTAAAATGAAAATTTGTGAATTTTATCGTTCACGCGTGCCCCTTTGAATAGCGAAATTTTTCGACGCAACGGTAAATAAGATACTCGTGTGATCTCATTCGATGGAGACCTGTATATCTAGTATTTTAATTGCTTTCGGTTCGGAAGATCTCGACAACCACTCCCAGCCGTCGCAGCAAGGATCTTTAAAGCCTGTAATTTCGTTTTGTGTTCTTTTGAACGTCGTTCGTCGTTAAATAAATTCGGAACATCGCTGACGGGTGGATCTCACGAGCGAAAAGCGAACAAAATAAGTGGGAGTTGTTCGCGTGTATCCGCACGGTTTCTGGAAACGCTGTTACCGCTACGAGGAGGTTGACTTATGGGATGTAAATTACGCAATGGACCAGTAGGAGGTTGAGAGTATCACGTTTCAGGTTGTCGGCAGGTAATCGTTTTTAGTATGCCGTGATCGCGTCCCGCAGGTTGCTCGTGAAGATGTCGAAATAAGGATCGGGATGACGGATGGGCATGAAACTTTTAATACGAAACGCGCGTCCGATCGTGGATTATATAATACAAAGCGATACAAGTCGGTTCGACGATCGGTTAAATTAGATTAGATTAAGTTCACCGTAAGCGGATCATCGTGCACCCTAAGACTGTGACAGTCACTGGCTGCGAGAAATTAATCCTCTTACGAAACTTACGTAACGTTTCGTCAAAATTTGTACAGGCCTGTTTGTCGAAATATAGATAAATTGCTAGTTATAGAAACATGTCTCTATTAAACCCATTTTCTCAGAAGCCAATGGAGATATCAACTTTTTTTAAAATTTTTATTCGATTAAACAAGTTTTAATTTGGACCACATTCCTTGCATCATTGCTTAGTTCTACCGAGACCAATCGAAATACATTTGTATTGGTTAAAATATTACCTCCGCTTCTAAAAAATTATAAGTGATTAATATTATCTGTAATCAACTGTGTAATGATTTTAAAAAGTGCAACAAGATTAAAGGGTACAAGCTTTTCGAGTCGAGTACGCTTCGAGATTCAGATTTCGATTTATACGGGACTCGTATGTTCATGTTGCGAATATTTACCTTAATTCAGGGCCATTACTTGTCCGCCATACCCGTGGCAAGTAAACGAGCAAGACAGGTTTTATTTATCAGCGTATAATATTGAAAGCCGTGCATCAATAAGAAAATTCGTGGAACGATATATTAATCGTTGCGTAGCAATTAAAGACGTTCAAGCATCGGAACTTAATGGGAAGATAATATTTTCTAAACCCCTCAAATTGTTGTAAAATTTAATAGGACTATCTAGATTTATTTTCTTCAACATCTAAATCTTCACAGCTTCGTCTTTAACAAAATTTTCCAAACAACCGTGTATCTCTTTCTACAGTTGCCCCATCAATATAAAAAAAGGTACATCGATAAAAACGGTCAGAGGTAGAATCAAGGAAGGTTCTTTTCACGAGCAGCAATATTTCCTGCGCCAAAACGGGTGTTAAAAAGGTGATACTTCTGCAACCTTTCGCGCACCGCTGTACATCATCGGTCGCGAAAGCGTAAAGTGCCAACGTAACGTCCAATCGTCGCATCAAAAACCGGCGTGCTTTCACATTTTTCAAGAAGTCTTCTTCCGCGGCAGCTCGATGAATCATGCCCGGACAGTAATTGCCGAAGCATCCCCGGCGGAGGATCAGCGAGTTTCCGCGAAGAGGCGCAGAGAGAAAGAGACTCGACCAGGTCGTGGGATAAAAAGATCGAACCGTCGTTGATTTCTTGCCGCGGACAACGTCGCGTACACGGCCAAGTATAACGTACCACCGGAATCGAATTAACACGACGACAACGAAACGAAGGAACTTAAAATGCTAATGAGGATCGACCGCGCCGCTGACTCCCCTCGTCGACACGCTCGTTCCGTACTTTCACACGTTCGAATTTATCGAGATTTAATTCGTCGTACGATCAGGTAGGCCCACTACCGGTCGTCGTTTCTGGATCTCTCAATGTTACCGGACGCTAAACGGTACCTTGTTTCCCGTGGACCCTCTCGAAACCGCCATCGTGGACGGATAATTTATACGAAATTGATTTAATGCTCAGGGGAAGCTCATAGAACAAGATATATCGAGTACCTTTTACTGTACGGCGATACATCGATTATCGCGTTCGACGTTTCGTGTAGAGGCGCGTTGAAATTCAGAAAAATTATACCTGATGCCTGTAACCTTTCCACGAAGGTATTATATTTGAAACCCGCATCGAATATTGCGTAAGTGCTTCCGGAAGGTTTCCAAAAATGTTGAGAAATTATTTTTTCCATGTGTAAAGTGATAAAATATTTATTACAAAACATGGCCTGATAAAAAGTTGATATCAGTTTTGCCATGATAGCCAACATCGGCTCATACCATAAGACTACTCAAACATTGCTCTTTTTTCAGTGAAAATAGTAACTCAAGCTAATAGAACTAATAGAAGACCAGTTAAGTAAGCATTTTGTCCGACTAGAATCAATACATTTTCACATTATTTTCCTGGAGTCTCTTTCCTCATAAGAAATTATGCTCACCTCTAAGGGCATTATTAACGTGTAGAGTGTCTAAAATGTACGCATATTTAATTATATTACCTGGAACGTTCAAAAATATCCCACGTCTTATCATTTAGTCCAGCACTGTATATTTCTGCAGCGTAAAATAAATACCGAAGTACTGTGCGTCCGCGAGAAGTTGGCAAGCGAACAGGAGTGTACTTCGACTTGCTCCGCCTATTTTAACCCAAAGTGGGGCACCAATCGGACCCGCATTCCTTTCGCCAGTCAACTTCTCGCGGATGCACAGTAGTGTATCGCCACTGTGTCCACCGGAGGATCGTATCCCGGAGGATGGCGTTCCCCGATGGAACGCATTGTTCTTGTGCGAAAGAAGGCCCAAAAAATTCGTTTGACAATAAAGACGCACACGGTAAATCGGCTTGGTTGCAGGGTGGTCGGAGCGGTGGTGGTCGGGGCGGCCGTCTGCGGGCGTATTCCCGGTCTGGCGAAGAGTCAACGGGAGCAGTGCAGAAAAGCGCCGCACGCGATGCCTGCGGTGGGCGAGGGCGCGGAGCTCGGACTTCGCGAGTGCCGACATCAGTTCAGACATCACCGGTGGAACTGTTCCCACGTGGCCAACGATCAGGTCTTCGGCCACGTGGTCGTAGTAGGTAAGGATTGTCCTGTCACCGCGGCAAGACCGCTATTTATTATGCTACCGGGCCGTTTTAACAGTGCCACGCCGTACGGAGGAGCGCTCTCAGCGTTCTGTAAAAGGCCAGTCGGCGTGTACGCGGTAATGGATTCAAAAGACTTCGGTATTTCGTGCCCGCGAGCGCAGATGCAGCCGATGCCTCCCGGGGGCCGTGCTACGCGACGTGTAAATGTGGGCTACGCGGCGCGGGATGCTGTATAAATTAGTGTTACGGATGTGCTCCGCTCGAATCGAATATACCGAGAAATAACCGAACAAGGGGGGCAAAAATTATGCGAAAGACCGTCGTACTCGACCGTGCATTGATTTTATGTCTCGCGTACAGTGAACGGAAGAAACGTAACGCGAATAATATCTACGCGAGCTTTTAAAATCATATATGCAACGGTGGTATTAGAGATTTGTTGACAATAATCTGGTTTCGAGAAACTTAACAGGCGTATTATAATTGATCGATGACAGGAGTATGATTTCAAAATTTCGAGGCTCGAAACTTAAGAAATGAGAAAGGAGCAACCTCCAATAATGTCTGCACTATATTAGATATAATTTATTTCGTTAGTTTTTGAAAAAGTTTGTAAATAGAAATAGTTACATACAAGGAAACACTTTTAAAAGAATGACTAATTGTAAACATAGTAAATAGACATAATAAATTGTTCTTAATGAAACAATTCTGATTCACTAAAAATCCTTTTTCCATTCATTCGCGTTCATATGCATAAATTTCGAAACAGCTTGGATCAAACGCGACTAAATGGAGCTTAAACGTTCGATTTAATGCTGCTCACTAAACACCTTTGCACCTGATAAACTACAACCAAGTTACATAGCGTATTTACATAGCGTATATACGTGTTTGCAGACATGTTATAAAATTAAATAAGATAAATAGCTGTTGAGTCAGATCCGTGTTTTATTAGACAGCTGTGCCTGTATCGTATTAATGGTCTTTTCATTATGGATTTCCAAGCTTTATCGTGGACCTACTAATTTACATTCTATCGTGGGACCCTTTCTAGCCATTGGCCGTTAATCCAGCAGTTATTAATACGATCCCAATATCGAGTGATTTAAGTCTCTTGGAAACCAAACGTTTGGATCTCAGAATTATTACGATTGAGTGTAGATCTCGTATAATCCTGTGGCTAGATTGAAAACAAATTCTTAACCCTCTATAACTCAAATTATGTATAGCTTCTAAAATAAATTGATAAATGCTAATAATGAAATTGAAAAGTGTATTATCGTTTTAAAACAAAAATGTAGATAATAGATATATGAACTTTAGAGTCACGCTAATTTATAGAACTTTTTTTAATGGAATGAAAACTATGTGGTATGTCACGTGTTTATATTTCTTTAATTTTATAGCACCGTACTAAATAATGCTGAAACTTTTCAACGATACTGTACCCGGATAATCTTGAATATTTTCACGGCCCCGGATCTATTGTACGACATTTACTAGCCACGTGGAACTATATTCTCATGAAATTTAAATCGGATCAAATACCAAATAAAGGGGTTGCTTTAATGCGACATCGGAGCAACGATAATGAAATAACTTTCCGGCTGTTAAATCAACGTTTCTCGCTTGTCGGTTACGATATCTTTGCTTTGCATCCCGCTGCGCCCATTTTGAAACGAAGATAAATTACAAAGCCACACATCCTGCGGCGTAAACTCGAAATTCTTTATCGAGAACGCGCGGCAATATGTATTTTTCTCTTTCGAACGCAATTGTAATTTGTTTCCATCGTTTTGAAGGAACGATGACTCGTCGAGCCCATCTGACCCGTTGAGATAATTGATTTGAGATGAATCAGCATTAAAAAGAGAACACGAGTATAACGCTGAGAGGACACAAGAGTGGTTTACACAACAAAATTTGCTATTTACAGAGTTGGTTTCCTGATTTCTATTGCTCCTTAATTTCTTTAACGTTATTAATTTCCGTGTTTTGGGATCCGATTTCGATCAACGATGCTCTACATTTTAAGCCCGATTTCGGTTGAAAAGCTCTGGTCCCATTCGTATCCTTCCCTTGTTAGCGAATAAGATACAGAAAGCGAAACCGTTCTCACGTGCCCGCACGCACGAAATTTGTGAAGACGGTGCGTGGGCAGGTACCGACGTTCCCGGGCTCACGTTTTTCGCTATTTTTTTCGCGAACACATCAGAGAGCTCTTACACAAGGTTGCGACGTCCCTTCTGCGCCCCGAGCATAAGTTATACGCGTATTATGCGGCTGCCGGGCAGCCGGCAGCATCACGAAACGGTAACACGAGAAACCGGACCCGCATCTAACGCATACGCGTGCACGCTTGTGGGTGTAGAAAGCCTGCTACCACATAGCAGCGGCCGTTTCGTCGATTTCCACCGCGATAAAATCCGCTACCGCGCCACCGTGCCTCTATCTTCTTCCTCCGCGAACGCCTAATCCTCATAAAAATGTCCGCGATTCCGGCCAAGAAAAAACGCCTACGTTCGGGGGAACCGAACCGTCGCGGGACGCCATTACACGCTGGTCCCCCCCCTTAATTTCGAGCTTCGGGACATTTTCATCGGCGAACTTTTCGTCGTTTCTGCGTGCCACTGTTCTCGCGAACCGATAATCGCCGATAAGATTAACTCTGACGGAGTACAACGTGCTCCGAAAATTGGTCCCGTGCAGCAGTCGCTCTGGAAACTGGAGCTGAGCTCGTTTCTAAACGACGATGCAAACGATTCATAAAGGATGAGATGCAAGACTATTCTTCGTTTGCACGTTGCATTTGCTTAAACGTTCTACGTTGCAACTTTTGTATGAAAACATTATATGCACAATAGTTGGCTTCGAACCTATTTACCAAACGATTTTCTGATCGATTTTTCTTTCATTTTTGGACTCGAGATATCCCCCCTGTTAAAACAGTTGTGAAAGTAAAAATAAACAGCTCGAATTAGTAAAGCGTGGAAAAAGCGTTTCTGTGTGACAGAGTGGACTTTTAAACGCTCCCTGCATTTTGAATGTCTCTTTTCTCGACACCCTGTAAGTACCTCTCTTAATTTCCGAGCGTAGCTGGAAGTAACTTAATATTACGCGACAGGACGTTACGGCAGGTTACGCAGCGACAAATGGCGAAAGCGATATATCTCAGGGACAAGATAATCCGGGAGTCCAGTCAGCGGAAGCTGACGTGATCCGCTCGCATAAATATCGCTAAATACGGCGTATTTGTCATCTCGACGTTAAAAACCATAAGCGCGGACCACGGGGCCACGGGAACTTCGCCATTGATCGTATGTCTCGCGGTAGCGTTATAGGAAACTGGCGGACGCACGCACCGCGATTTCTCATGATTAACGCGGTAAGGGATTAAGCCTCAACGTGGGAAAAATCGAGAATGCAAAATTTACCCAAACGTCGCTTGATTTACGACGCTCGAGGAATCGCTGGTAGTTTGTCACGTGGCGTGTGACTCCGAGCCACCCGGATAAAAGTACTCGCGTTCCTCCGGGGTTGATCTCGAAAACACTGGATTAACCAAACACTCGCGTGATGGAAGCCATTTTTATCCTCATTGTGCTCGCCAATCAAGCGAAACGTATTAATCTATTTCATAGAAACGATCAAATTAATACCATCACCAGTGCAGGGTTGGGAAAATTTGAAATAGTTTGAACATTGAAAAATTTGCACAAGTAAATACTATTTCATTGAATGTTTCAATCATAAGAAATTACTATCTCTGATTCAAATACAGAAAATAGTAAACTGAAAATAGGACATACAAATTTTAATGTTATTTACACAGAAAACAAACGTCTTATGCTATCGATATTATTATTTTCCTGTATTTTAATGAAATACTTATGTCACAATACCATTTCCATTTATAACTCCACACATAAGAAAATAAAAATATTTACATTCTATTTACTATTTTCCTACAGCCTGCACCGATGAAACTTTTAATAAAATACAAATAAATAAAATTTCAAGTTTTTCCGTTCGATATAATTTTACAAATTATGCTGTGGAGTTTCTGAACCCTCTTATAATGTTTCATTTTAATCTTGAGATTTTGAATATTTTCAAAATTAATGTGATTTGACATTCTCGAGAACGTAGAGATTTTTGAGAATAGTAAAGTTTCGATGCTTTGCACGCCTCCGTTCGTACCTCGACGCGTAATCTAACGACCAGACGCTGTTTCCCGGAGACTTCAACGCCGGCGCAGGCTTGCAAGTTCAAGCGCGCATCGTGGTTTTCGCGAAACGTGTTAATCGCGCGTTTAATTCAAGATCGCGCGCTCCAGCGTGCACGGATTATATCGAGCGCATAATGTGAGCGTTTTAAGAGCCGGGAAATATCTTAAGCGTATATTGCCGCACTTAGCTCCAACATGTTGAGCGGCCCCGTTAATTTCACTAATTAAGTTAGCGACCGACCGCCCCTCCGCCTTATGAGCGCGCGTTATTTATATTTTTTTGCGCATTAATTCCTGGCCTTCTTATTTCTCGCGCGACTTCCTCCCTGCAGCTGCTATTTTCGTTTCGTCTCGTTTATCGGCTCGACTTTAAACCGTTTCTCCCCCTTTGCTCTGTTCCTTCCAGTTCCCCGATCCCTTTCCACGCTGTGCTCTATTTATCCTTTTCATTTTTCGAAAATCGTATCTCGATACAACACCCGTTCTCCCCCTTTTAATTTCGTATCTTATCAATACCAAGGTCTTCACGATAAACGGGAACGACTCGTTTTAATAAACGTTTACCGCGCGGTGCCGCGGACCAGCGGGATTCATAACTCGTTAAAATGCGGAACGACGCGAGCGTACCGAAGAATTTGCACATTTTTGCGCGCCATTGCGTTCGTAGAATTCTTGTGCTCGAAATACCAACGAATTTTAAGAAGATTCTCTAGCTTCACCAGCCGAGATAAGCTTGTAGCCTCACTGTTTATAAAATATT